TAACCCTGTTTTTGTGACGGCGGTAATAAGAAGCCAAAATGAGTCGAGTTGATTGAATTTATTTCAAACATTCTTCTTTCCAGAAAGACATTAAGAATAAAAAACAGCAAAGCAAAGTGGGGCGGAGTGGAGAAACCAAATGAGACAACTCGATCTGATCAAGAGTGACTATTATTAATCATCCCAAAGTCTTACTGGTAACGGTCACTATAAGTAACTTTTTTCTAATCCAATTCTTCGTATGACCTATGCTCTTTCGATTTGTCAATTTTCCATGTGCGTAAAGGTTATGCTTTTGTTACCATAAGTACTAATCTGTACTATTTTTCCAGCAGTTCTATTTGGATACCAAGTTCTCCCCACACTTTTTTACCATGTATTAGTGGGTAATTATTAAAGTGATGCATGCCAACTATCATTATTAAGTTTGCAATAGAACCGTTCGTTTAAGAACAACTTAATCGTTTCTAAACTTGCAAGCATTATTGACCAACCAAACATTTTAATAGACAAATATTTTTATAAAGATTTAAACAGTTGAGTGTATCATAAAAAATTCTTTTAAAAACCCGGCTTAATGTTTACGAGACAATAAAGGTTGAATAATGTTTATTCAACCTTTTTTAATTGATTAGTCAAGTACAACTTTGTATATAAAGTTATTGAACGATACTTTTTGTGTTTGAAACTTAGTGTTATTGCATTAGATATTCATCTAAACAATAAGTGATAAAGGTCACATTTACATCAACAATGAATAATACAATAAAGCTGAAAGTGTTAGAACTCCTCGTTCATTACAATCAGTGGTTTTTTTTAAATACTTGACACTATTATCATGGTACATAGGATTGAAGTTTGTGTACCCTAATTTATCCTAATGTATGTAGAACACCATCGATGAATTAATGTAATCTTCACAAAACCTCTGAATAAAAATTTTGACAATTATTTTCTACAGAGTTGAGATCATGAGTCAATTGAAGCTAGACCACCATGGAAAACTTGGAAACACTGGACGGTCGTTTCGTCCCATTATGGGACTCCTCAGCAGTACGCATCCACGATCTCACCTCGTGAGATTCGAACCCAGGACCTACCAGTCTCGCACGGAAGCGCTTAGCCTCTAGACCACTGATCCGGCATCCAACGATGTTAATGTCTAACTTCAACCAATCCACGAAATTGAGCAACCGTCCACCATTTTCTTCAGTGAGTTACTATCTCACAACAGACCCGGTTGTAATTTAGGTTTTCCATGGTGGTCTAGCTTCAATTGACTCATGATCTTAACTCTATAAAATTTCTAAAATCTCCACAAAACCCCTTCTGATACTTATTTTCTACTTTTATTGCTATTACTATTACCACTATTATATAACTAATACAACATTATATTAACTTTAGAACAAATAAGAATTTATTAAATTAAATATACATGAAAATAAATATGAGTCAGAAATTATCGTCGGGTTTTAAAATATTAGAAAAAAGAGAGATTTGCTACTTAGTACTTCGTAAATGAAAAAGATACTAACAATCATTAAGATCGCTGATAAAAAGTAAAACTTGACTTAAGATTATAGGCAAAGATGGATAGTGGCTAGCAGTGAAATGCAGGACGAGCCTTTCGTCCTATTTGGATCTCGTCAGCCGGATGTTCCTGAATCTCAGAGTTGATGTTCACTTTGAGATTCGAACCCAGTATCGTTCGCTTCAAACGCGCCACGTTATCCACTTAGCTACTGAATCCTGATAGTCACTTGCTTTTGCAATGGGGTGAAGTTTAAATTCACTTGGTATTATTTATTTGAAACTTTCCATTGATGTTTAGGACTGTAACTGATCAGTCTCTTATTGGCATATGTGCATACTGTGCGTATTGCCTCGATATTGCCTTAATTCACAAGTATTATTATTAAAAATAATCATATGCTTTTTACACTTCTGAGATACTTTAAGTAAATTTCGACTAGTTTTACATAAGAATTATTATTTTATGTTTAAATCGAACATTTTTAAACAATTTTTTAACAATCAAGCCACATGATACAATATTATTTTAAGTAGAATAAATTTTAAAGTTATTTTTCTTCAGTATGAATTGATGTTATTTAGAGAAAGAACCATTGGAAACTAGAATGTATTTTTATCAGAAGGGGTATTTTTGTGGAGATTTAGTATTTTTATAGATGAAAGCGTGAGTCAATTGAAGTTCCCAGGTTTTCCATGGTGGTCTAGCTTCAATTGAATCACGCTTTCAGCTATGAAAATATAATGTATTTGATAGATTTGTAATTTTCATTTACATGAGAAGCTTTATACTAAGACAAGGGGACAAAAAGTAACTGTTTAATAATAATAATAACTAAAGTTTTGACTTTCAACAGTTTTCTAGATCTTGATCTTATTTCATAATGAAAACCAATTTAGAATTGTACGAAATTTCTGACTAAATGATCATTTGAACATTAACTATATACTACTACAAATGAAGCAATTAATGAAGTAAATTAACCATTACGAAACAGTTTGATTACATTCAATGAATAAGCAATTGGATTATAACAATTACAAAATTATTTTTACCAGTTAACAATCAAATTATACCCATTAGTACAACTAGATATATATTTGAAAACAATCAGAAATTTTACACTATATTCATTTCAAAGTAATCATTACAAAGATATGTTTAATACAGATTACATCCTATGAATGATATGAACTAAATGTAAAAACCAATAAGAAATAGATCTGAAAATGATGAGTGGGAAAAAAAACTTGAATTAAAAATTAATAAAGCATAAGTTGTCGATTAAATCTTTCTTGAATAAATCGGCGAATAGAATTACCACAAAGTTATTTTAGATACAAAAACTAGGATGTATAATTACAGCTTTAATGAAAGGATAGATAGAATTCTTATGGTAAGATATTGTTTGATTTAGTAAATAATTTAAAATAATGTAGATCCTATTCACCTTATTACTGCTATCGACTAAATATAACACGATTATAATTTGAACTAAACTTAAGCAAATTGATATTCATAAAAACAAGTTAATTATTGGCGTATTGATATACACATTGTTGGTAGGATAGGATTGGATTAAAACATGTTTTATCCAGGATTCTATTGGAGCAAGTTGATTGGTTCTTTACTAGCCAATCAGGGCTAGCGGACAATTAGGGAAGACTCTAGAAACTTGTGTAAAATTATAAATATACTAATGCTTTTCTTACTGAGATTCACTCCCATTCAACTTGCTTTGTTTAGAATATAATCGCGCACCTGTTCAAACTATGTTCTGATTTTGAGGACTAGTCGAATGAAGTGGTGTTCTAAAAATACTAAGCAATAAGAGTAACTGGGGTCGGCTGATATAACACTTAACACACATGAAACAGTATTTACTAAGGATAGTTAAATAAGGAAATATACAAATAGAGGTAACAAAACTTTGTAACTGTTTTCAATTCTTCAGTAACCACGATCTATCAAGCAAAAACCAATAAGCACAACTTGATTTCATCAAGCTGTTTTCTTATCTATCTGCTCTAGGGTGTTATTATTTTAAGCGTTTATTCAAGTTGAAGCTTTAAGAAGAAAGTGATATTCTGTGAATAACTATTGATTTTCCAAAATAACGAAAAACCTAATCAAGTTAAAATGAGGTAATTATCGTTCAATTTTACCAGATAAGAAACCAACAAAAACCAATTGTTTAACTGAGACTGGTACTTCCGATAAGCTTTCTAACTGAACGCTTGAATGGGTCTCCTAAACCCTTCTAATAACTCCAGGCTAAATCTACACGACTTAAACAAGAGAGAAAAGGCGCCAAGTGTGAAAAGAACGCTTTACTCCAAGGATAGTTCATGTACAGAAAACCGAAGTCAGTCAGTCAGTCAGTCACAACGTAGAACTTCGTACGTACGTACATCAGTTCGAGTTGCCATACCACATTAGCACAGAGATGCAGTTGTCGATTCAAATCCCATAGTGGTAGAAGTAGTAGGAGTATAATCAGAAATCCAAAATATCAGGGTTTGAAGAAATTATTGAAGGAGTATAGTACAGTGAAATAAATTTGGAAAGAGAAAAATATAAAGACATGAGGAATTCAGAAGATTAGAATTTCGTAGAACACAAAGAGTGGATGCATCTTCGCCATTGCAAACGATTTTGAGCCATGTCATTCAAGGTCTCTAACCATCGGTTGCTGTCATCTCGCGAATCCCAACCAGGTAGTCTACACCTACCGAAGGTATTTATGGTATCTCAGGTGGCCTTAAGCTTCTGTAATTTTCTGGAACCATAATAAACATAGTAACGGGATAGGTAATTATCCGACCAGAAATGTGACGCGTGATTCTCGATTTTCTAGATGTTTCCAGAGAACTTTTATTCAACACTGATTAGATAAAATGTTTTCCAGCGTTTCCAGCATTTTCTTGGACTATTTTGAGTAATACTTTGTATCCCCTCAACACCTTTCTTTCACACAATAAAACTTCATCTTTGTGTCTACTTTCCATAACAACTTTAACACGAAAAAAATAAATGATAACTAGACTGTAGCTTATGTAAATAAAACTGTTCATGGAACTTTGTTGAGCAACAACAAAATGACCTTGAGACTTCAGCTACTTAATAGGCTCATAACAGGATTATGAATAAAGTAATAAATATATAAAGGCGTTGGTTCATCCATAGATTATAATCCCGCCCCAAAATGCTTACATATTACACTTTATCTGAAAAATTTGTTTAGTATAAACAAGAAGGTTTTATCACTGTTAGTATTAAAGAATCTAACATTGCTTTTTGTTCTGACAACAACTTGAAAAGATTTTATAACTAAACAGAAAATGTATTTACTTAAAATTTTAGTACAGATAATAACGTGAAAACTGGAAAAAAATTCAAAATTCTTGAAAATATTCCCATGGGTATTGAATAATCTTAAGAGATATTATTAAATAGTTGAACTTACCGATCAGGTGAAGGTATATAACTGAAAATTTATAGCAACAAAAATGAAAAAAGGATTAACACTAGACTAAGTATCCGTGTCTTATCACGAAAAATCTTTACTGAATGACATAAAAACACTTTGATTTTATTGATGATCAACTTATAACAAAAAGGGTACATAAATGAATAGTTATTGCTGTGAAACCAAATAAGAAAGCATTGTGAATAGACTTTGTCCATTTCACTTTGGATCTTCTTCATCAGTTTACATCTTTTTATCCCAGAAAAGATAGTAATCAAAGCATTGCAGTACCATCCAGTTTAATTGTGACATTATGTATACATTATTTAATGACATCCACTTATAAGTTACTTGGTAATGCAGATGGTCATGAACTCTTAGCACAACTTTGAGAGATCATGAAATAATTTAATAATCATTATAAATAATTTAATTGACTGAACTGCGAACAACAATCCGAATTATAAAAGACTATTCTTAACGCTGACAGCTCTTAGGATTTCAATTAAAATAATCAAATACAGGTTTAAGATTTTGAGACAAGTTATATGGAAATTTTTAATAAAAATATCGATCATACCTGAAAAATCAACGTTTGTTTGCAATCATCTTAATTATCAACGCGTTGATTTTTAACAATCATTCCACCTAATTATTTGCTGTCTTTACCATAAACACTATTGTGTGATCGAAAATATTACTAAGGATTAATCTAATTAATTGCACATTCATCCGTTTACTTAAATCCTTAATTTATTTAAATGGTGATGGCTTCTTTATAGGTAAAAAATCCTATACTTCACGTTAACAATAAAAACATGCAAAATTTGTAAATAAGAGTTCTTTCATTTCTCAACGGAGAAGACTTTCATTTCTTCAAGAAAAATGAGCTCTACATTTTCGGTTATTTTCAATGTATTGGAAGATAGACATAAATATGTAATAAAGTACTTTGTGGTTTAACACATTTGAAGAGTAAACACAGGCTAAGGAATTTACGATCTAGATTGCTAAATATTGCTAATAATCACACCACACTCTAAAGTTAAAGTAAGACTGAACAAATAGTTTAAAAAAAAGAATAAAAATGATCAGTAAGTCAATGTAGGCCTACATGTAGTGAAACAGATAGTATTATTAAAAAAATTCTTTTCTTTAAAATTAGTCGTCAATTGGAGTTAATACAATATAGCCTAGTTCAGCAAAGTCAGCTGAATTTCCGTTAACCTTTGCTTGATAACCATAGTAAACTGAAGGTATATTTATTAATCTCTTACTATATAATATCTTGCCCCCAAATGCCTTGGAACGACCGAGAGTGAGGAGAGATCTACATCTGGGTTTCAGCTTTCAGGCAGTATTCCAGCCCAAACACAAACTAAACGATTTTTATGTGGTGAATATATATTTGGCGGCCCCGTCTATCAATTTTCATGTGTTCAATTAATTAATTAGTAATAATAACAAAACAAATTTCATCAAACACCTAAGTCTGAGTGACAAAAAGTCATCAGGTTCTTTTACTTTTGTAAAATTACCCGAATCACATTTTAAAGACCTAAAGAAACGAATGCTCCAGCTAACAGCGTGATATAAAAGCCTGATCACTACATCAAAGTAGCAGCCACAGTCGGTATATTAAGGACTGGATTTGACCAATCTTTAAGACATGTGCATCCAGAGTGACTTGCTTTGATATTGCCTTTAGTTACAAGTCTTAGTAAATTCGAATTGTGATTAGTGATATAAACAAAGATGAGCGTTTTGTGTTCTTATACCCATTGAGCTAAACATAGCGACTCAATTGATAATGTTACTCAGAAGGGGGTTTGTGGAGATTTTAGTATATTTCAAAGTTGAAATCATGAGTCAATTGAAGCTAGACCACCATCGAAAACCTGGAAGCACTGGACGGCCGTTTCGTCCTATTATGGGACTCCTCAGCAGTGCGCACCCACGATCCCGCACTCGCGAGATTCAAACCCAGGACCTACCAGTTACGAGCCAGAGCCCTTAACCGATAGACCACTGAGCCGGCATCCAACGGTGTTAATGTCGTCCAGTGCTTCCAGGTTTTCGATGGTGGTCTAGCTTCAATTGACTAATGATTTCAACTTTGAAATATACTGAAATCTCCACAAATCCCCTTCTCATTATAATCATATGCTCACTAGTGACTGACTTCAAGATACATGTCCTGGAGTTCTAGTGGGAAGCAGTGACCAGTGGAGTTCAACCACGTCTGTTGTGAGATAACAACTCACTGAAGGCAATTGGTGAAGTGTCGCTCATAATTCGTGGATCAGTTGAAGTTAGACATTAACACCGTTGGATGCCGGCTCAGTGGTCTATCGGTTAAGGGCTCTGGCTCGTAACTGTAGGTCCTGGGTTCGAATCTTGCGACTGCGGGATCGTGGGTGCGCACTGCTGAGGAGTCCCATAATAGGACGAAACGGCCGTCCAGTGCTTCCAGGTTTTCGATGGTGGTCTAGCTTCAATTGACTCATGATTTCAACTTTGAAATATAATAATGTTACATCAAAAGCAAAAACAAGGAAATTGTCTAAAAAGTAACCAATATTTTTAATAGAAACAACCTTTGAAAACTATTGACGAAATGACTTCAAACTAACCTGTCAGCATTACAACATAATAAATGTCGACAACTGTGCTGACTATTGTTTAGAGCATAAGGATCCGCTTCAAATGCCAATAATGCACGAATAGTATGAATTGATGCATTATACTGAAAAAGATTTAAAATGGAATAGAAGAACATGAACCTAAATCAAACAATTATATATACACTACATTATTTATTAACATGGTAATTTAATCTAGAGTTGAATGAATATTAGTGACTACACCAATTCTGTTTATTTATAATGACCATTACTAATCAAATGTTTGACTACTGACGATCTCTATTCCTATCTCTCTCTCTCTCTATATATATATATATATATATCGGATTGAACCTCAGTTTTAAGGTGGGCGTAATGCCTTTAAACTGTATTAGTTAAAATCTAAAACTCCTAAAACCCTAATAAAGAAATCCCCGACTACTGAAAAAAACTTCACCTGGAGCAAAGTAATAACTTACCGACAACATTTATTGAGGATCATCTTATCTTATAAACTGACTAAAATTGAAAATATAAATTATTGAATTCCGACTGCGTAGTCGAAGAATATGAAATACGTGGTAAATGGCACGTACGGGGTAATTGTTAAGTCTATTAGCTGTCTGAGTATGGAACGAGGAGAATTAAATGTGATACACCTAAGTTGCGAGTATATCCAACAATGAAGTTATTTATATAAATACTACTTGGTGTCACATTATTGTCCATAATTAAAATAAAAACAACAAAGCTTACAGTCATGGCATAATGTAAAGGAGTTGCTCCACTAGCATTACGCAAATTTGGATCAGCACCACAAATTAATAAGGCCAAAACATCTTCGAAATTGTTATCGCGTACTTTCATATGTAAAACAGTCAATCCTAGATCATTGCGTGCATCTAAATTAGCTCCAAGTTCACACAGTCTTTCAAAAATCTATGGATGCAAAACAAAAAAACAAATAGTTTTTTCTTTCAAAAAAGAAGGAACAAAATTTAACTAGCCAGAAGAAAAATATTGATTTATTTCCAAATATAATTTTTTCCGACATATAACTGTAATAATAATAAAATACTGATCACTGTATTCACCGCAACCAATACTTTAGTCATGTAGACAACAAAAATATTAGACAATTGTTTTATTCACTTGGTATTGTTTGACTGAATCTTCCCATTGATGTTTAGGACTTCAGTTGATCAGTTTCTTATGTGCATACTGTGAGGACTGCTTCGATATAGCCTTAATTTACAAGCATCATAAGTAAAGATGGATAGTAGTGGAATGCAGGACGCGCGTTTCGTCCTATTTGGGACTCGTCAGCCGGATGTACCTGCATCTTAGAGTTCATGTTCATTGTGAGATTCGAACCCAGTAACGTTCGCTCCAAACGCTACCACGTTATCTACATAGCTACTAAGTCCTGATAGCCACTTGCTTTTGCAATGGGGTGAAGTTTAAATTTACTTGGTATTGTTTTATTCTTAATCAAAATATAATACCATAAGAGAATTGTTTATTTTCCTATAAAAACAGATAAGATACTAAATCAAAATATTATTACTTCATTTTAAAGAAAAAAGTCGGTAAACTGATGACAGCAGAAGAACACACTGACAACACTGGTTTAAATCAAAGCAATGTTAAAAAGCAACAAGCACTGGATGGTTGTTTTGTTCTAGTATGGGGACTCCTCTGCAGTGTGTTTTCATGACTACTATTGGAGGTCAAGCTGAGAACCTTCAGACCCTGTAATGATCCTTTAACCTATAGACAAATGAGTTGGTAGTTTAGTGGCTTACACTTCCAACTCTAACCATTTTCGCAATGTTGTGTGACCATCATTCATTTACAATCAATCTGTAATGTAAAACTATAATTTAACGACCATCATAACCCTCTTGTATTAATATGCGATAATATTAGATGAGTTTGAAAGATCCGGTAACATAAAAGTAATGAAAGTATTAAAATAAAACATTCTGAATAAATTGAATTTTAAGAGGTAATTACTGCATCAATGAAAATCTACCTTATTAACGATGCAGTAGAAAAAATTACAAATGCAATAGTAGCAACAGCGTCTTCAGTCTAAATTATCACATCTCACACAATTTATTGGGTTGCCTGATTTATGATCCTAATTAGAAAACCATGACACATTGTTGATTTAAAGAATAATAGGCTTTCTTCGATAGTTTAATAGACATTTTTTTATAATCCACAATTTAAAAACTTTATATCTATTTGTCTTCCTCATTAAAAATTTGGCTTAAGAAACATTTTCGACAAAAAGGAGAACAACAAAAAGAACACATTACATAGAAGCTTATTAATATAAATTTACTGTTTTTTTAATAATCTTTGAGTATCTATTCATAGATTATACCTGTATTTAGTCATATTTATTCTATGATTCTTATTCAGTCATTCACTCGAAGAATTCTTAGTGAAAAAGAAAAAAGAAAATTCAGTAAATTCAGCTTCGTGTGAAGTTGTCACTATATCACAATGTAGCATATCTTATTATCAGTTGATTAACATTTAATTAGTCATTTTAACGTTATACAAATTGTATCTGTTGATAATTTAAAACATCTAGTCAACAACATTTTCTCTTACTCGACGTTTTATTTTTTCTCTGAACTATTAAGGAAGAGTGACTATAATTTAATGGATTCACTTCTGAAGAGGTTTTGTCGAGATTTCAGTATTTTCATGGTTGAAATCGTAAGTCAATTGAAGGTAGACCATCATGGAAAACCTGGAAGCACTAGACGGCCGTTTCGTCCTATTATGGGACTCCTCAGCAGTAGTCTATCGGTTAAGTGCTCTGACTCGGGACTGGTAGGTCCTGGGTTTGAATCTCGTGAGGCGGGAGCGTGAATGCGCACTGCTGAGGAGTCTTACAATAGGACGAAACGGCCATCCAGTGCTTTCAGGTTTTCCATGGTGGTCTACCTTCAATCGACTCATGATTTCAACTATGAAAGATTCACTTCTATGTGAGGCATCGACTTTTCTTTCTGAGTATTTAATGTCATAAATATATCATATATCGTTTGTGTTTATAACATTGAGTGATGTACAGAATATCATGAATATCAAGATAAAACTTTATATTTTATAACTTCGATTGGATAGACTAAACAACATAGAATACAGAAGAACAATGCTTCTGGTTAGGGTTGTAACATACTTTTCAATAGTACAGATAAAAATGTAAACTTAAAGGAAAAGTTATTCAGTCAGTTAATACGGACATACAGCCTAGGGCAGATGTGTGTTAGCTAAAGTTTCTACTTCAGATTACATGGCAAGATGAAAATAACAAGATGAATAATTTTTTTTTTAAAGTCGAAATGACGAAAAGAAATCCTATTGACGTTATCCATCAGTAAGGTATTATGAAAAAGTTAGTAATTTAAGGTATAAATTGATACATTTAACTACAAGAAAGTGAATTATGATGAAACACTCATTGGTAAACATGTCATTATTACTAATATTGAAAGAAAAACGTTTCGAAATCATGCATAAAACAGAAACTATGTGTCTAGAAAATGACAAATTAAATATTTTTCTAACAAAAAGCCAACGGTTTTATTTAATGACAACATCTTTACTCTCTTAAATTGAACACTGAATAGTACTTCACTGGATATATATATATATGTATATAGTAACAGTTTAAATAATAAAAAACTAAGTTCATGCAACAAAAAAAGAACAATCTTATATTTATGATGAAAACTAGACAAATGTTAATCTACACATAATACTCATAAATTGTATGCAAGGAATCATATGGAGTTAATGCTTATTTATACAGTGGCATATTTACCTGAAAAACAACCTTGAGATAATAACACTAGCTCCATTTTTACTCGACACAAATATGCATATATATGAAATTTTTATTAAAAAAAAAACTATTTCAATAATTATTACTAGCAAGATTGAAATGATATGTGATGCAGAAATAAACACTAAAATCGTACCATATGATCTTACTTCAAACAAAGTTTTGATGTGGGGTAGTATTAAATTTTTTTAATACAACTAGATTTTTTTATATTATGAGTAACTAACACAAGACTAGATGCTTAAAACAATAAAAGAATAACTGGATTATTTTTTAAGCAAAATAGAAAAACGCGCAGTTTTATAAGGTCATTTTCATTGTATAAAAACAAACAAATAAATGAATTAGATGACATGGTAAATCATTATCAATATCATCGATAATGAGTAAAGTTCAATACAAAGATAATTGAACTAATAAAATAGTATTTTTTTAAAGGTAGGCCCAGTTACAAAACCCTAAACTTTCATAGGGAAGTTAGAAGGCCTTATTTATGTAAACATCCAGTGACCTGTTACAATCCTGTTTATTATGTAATGTTACATGTAAGTACTAAAAAAGTATCAATTAATATGAGAAAGTTGCTTAGCAGTATATTTAGCCATAATATTTTTAACCGCTAGACTAATAACATGCCAAAAGTTTAAAAGCCGAAAAATTCACATTAATGATTCTAAAAAACGTACTTTTGACATGCATTTTGTAGAGCATAAACTATTCTTTAAAAACGTTTTACCAAACCATTAAATCAAATTTAATACAACTGACTAGTGTAATATTAAATTCTGATCAATTAGTTACATCTGGACAACATTTGTATTAGCTTAATAACACAATGATAACGGGGAAAAAATAACATGAGCATAAACAGAAGTGGTATCAATGATAGTTAGAAAACTGAACATGGGGAATTTAATCAGAAAAAAAACAATGAAATTGTAGAACGAATTGGATGAATAACAGAAGAAATTAAAAGGAAGATAAAAAATGACTACATCATTACGACTGCAATTGATTTCGTACCATGTTATCTAACACTTCCAAACCTTAGAGTGAGATTACAATTTAAACCTTAACTGGAAAGTTTGAGCCTCGTTAACTACCTCACTCAGACAGTCAATGACTTCATGCCTTGATCTAATTGGTGCTCAACGTCTTATAACCTACTCATCCCAACCAGTACTGCAGGAAGCAGTGGAGGGTGACCAGGCAAATGAACCAAATATAAATCATACCATTCAATAGAGAAGACTGCATTCAGAGGAGCTCAAACTATACACTGATTACCATGGCATGCAATAATGACTAGTGTTTGTGACGGTTGGAAGGAAGCTAGGGGGCAAAGCCAGAACATGGCATCAGTACTTGAAGTCACTAACTCCTGATCTGAGCCATCTTGGTGGATGCAGACTATCGTAACGCAACTATCGTAACCAATTGTTGGAGGCTCTGAGTGACATGGCTCAAAATAGACCACAATGGGATAGGTGTATAAACTCGTTATCTTCCCCTAAACCGTGAGATTAGAATTAACTTATACCTTTCTTTCTACGAACTAATTCTTTCTCCCTGTATTATATCCTTATGTACAACCTTTCTTTTATATACTACTACCATTGAAGTAACTACTTCTATGGATTTGGTGTTTATCTTGTTGTGCTAATGAGGTGTGGCAACTTGGACGGATACACATATGTGCCTGGTCCTACGTTGTAGCTGACTGACTGACTATTAAAGGAGAATTTACTAATATACTGTGAATAAGTCCTACCGAGTAAGTTTATATCATTGGCATAACACATATAATTTTACATCAGTAAAATTAATTATAAACACGTGTATTTAGATATTTCTTTCTATACATTTTGTATTGATGTTTAAATGTGATGTGATATATAGGACTAATTAATGGTAACGATTAATTCATCATCATGAAATTTATCATAAATTTTCAACAGTATAAGTACCCAGTGCGGATTAATGAAACTTTTGAAGTAATATGATTAAATACATAAAACAAAAATCCAGACAGGCATCATCCATGAAAATAATGATTAAACACTTATGTTTTAAAATTCTTTAATTATGCACAACTTATGTGATAAACAATAGGGGGGGGGGGTAAGCATAAAACTTCTTAGAGAAGTGTACATGTTCAAGTTGTTACATTTCCATCAGCACAATGATAAAATCAATAAAAATGAAAGGATATCAGCATTCACACGGATGTACCCCGATGAAAGAATACGTCCACTTGATAATGGTGTTGTAATCTTAACATTTATCCAAAAAAATAATACAAAGACATACAAGCTGTCTTAAATGCAAATATAGAAGAATAATATCTGTGCATAGAACAATTACAACATCTAGGTGATGGATTCAAACCCGATATCACTGAGGAGAATTGGGCCCAATAGTCATCCTAATTTGATTGTAGAATGAGTGATCTATGGAACTCCTCAATTAGTAGTGTTTCTTAAATTACATCAAATTATGCTTATCTTTAACTTAGGTGTTTTGTATAAAACTCTTATTCTACTGGAGGTAAACGTATTCTGTTCTCAAATCACCTTAACCTTGGATATTAGCTCGTTTGGATAATTACACGCATAATTTGACGTCATAAGAAGTCACTAGTTAACCATATCATATGACATATCAAATAGCGTTTTGTACTTCATTTTAAAAACACCGAAATGTGCATAATCGTCATTGTTAGAACCTGTAAAACTCCTTCGAAACAAAACCCTCTTGTAGCAAAAAAAACTTTTCTGGTTCATTATTGACAAGGGCAATGATATAACAAGTTTTACTAGCTCTCAAATGAGATGTCCAATAATGAATGGTTTATTATAGGAACACTAGTATTATTAAGCTCGCTACTTGAACGGTTGTTATTAATGTCCTAAGCGCTTCCTATAACCCCAGACTCAAAAAGTAGATAACAAAGGAAATAAAATCTGAGTAAACACTTTACTTCAAGGTTAATCTGTGTACAGATAATGGAACAGATGATCTAGATCTTCTAGGAACTTCCGAAAAACTATTATATGTAGCACCAGACTGGGTAATTATCCGGTCTAAAAGTGATACATAATTCTTTACTTTTCTGAATGCTTCTGAGAAGTATCCGTCCAATACTGATAGAACTAAACGTCTTCAGTTATTAAATCGACTTACGAGGACTTAGTCGAAGGATATTTGTGAACCTCCAACGAATAACTTTACAGTAATCTCATTGTTTGACTTTTGCATTTTTGTAAGTCATTATGAAGTGTGTTCACAAAAATAATCGCAAAGTTACCACACACTTGTCTTATCATGTGAAAATTACATCGACACAAGTATGTGTTTTATTCAAACACCATATTATAAACTTTTAATAAGTAAATTTTTTAAAGAAATTATTATGTTATATAAAATTTATCATCCCTACGAACAACAAAATAAGAATCTACTTATAATGTATACAACTTCTGAATAAATTTGACTAATTAGAAAACGATTTTTAAAAAACAAGTAGTTTTAGTTAAATTATCCTAATGACGTTTAAGACTAACAAAAAAATGTTGGGAAACAGGGAATAATATGAAGAAAATACGGAAATCCGACTAATTATTATAAAACTCAAAAGTCATTTAGGAAATATTTTGAAGAATTTGGTATTGAATATATATTTTTCTAAAGAAATCACTTGGAAATATTAGACATGATTAGCGTTTTATGTTGGTTTACATACGCTTATAGCTAACTGTAGTCACGGAAATAAAAGGCTTGTTCGATCTTCGTTTTCAGACTATCTTGAGTGTAAAAAATAGAATTCATTTCTCTATTAACCAAGTGAAACAATACGTTTGGAAGTATAAGATAAGGGTATAGTGTAGCGTACTTACAGCTGATACTAAACATAATGTACCAGATAAGTGTGGGATAAGTACCAGGCATCGCCAACCACAAGCTACTTCAAGTATTAAGTAAACTAGTGTAGAATTAAGTTGGATAAAAGCTGTGAGTAGACAGAACATGACAGCGTACGTTCATAAAATTATTGACTTGAGGTGAACAATGTAACAAGGGATGTATGCTTTTTGATTGACGGCCGGTAGACGAACGTAAGCTACGTTCAAAGACTTTAGATTACATGGTTCAAAATTGATGCCAACTTCCTAGATGCACTCAATTTTTTTGGTTTCTTCTATACCTCACAGTTTATTTTAAATTGTCTCCACATTTTGTCTTCCAGTTATTTGTTACAGTTTATATTCTGGTATTCACTTATTTGCTCTTCCTGTGATTAATTTCCATTGACTTAAAGCGTATCAACTTGAACCGACATACATTCAAATGATTTTCAAAATAATTTCTACCTACCGCTAATTAAAGCGCTTTTTATTTAATTAATTGAAGTTTTATTTCGATTAGCATCTATGTAGTGAAGTTCAAACAAGAACATTGCATCAATCCATAAATTCATTGAATTTTAGACCGAAGTGGATTTAAAGGTACAAATTGAATTGCTTGGGCCTAGCGAGATAATCATAGTCAGTGGTTGGAGACTCAAAATCTGTTGCATTAATACACATGAATTCTTTTTACACCTTTTCTCTAGTTCTTCACTTGTACTATTATTTCATACTTTTTATTGCACGAATACGATCCTTTTCTAAATTGTATTCTTAATATTTAATTATTTTCCCATCACTAATGCCAATATCATTAAGACTCCTTTACTATAACATCACATCAAGTTCATCTTTCCGTGCTTACATTGTGAGACAACTTGAGTCGATGTGCGTTTATGCCAGATCAAATTCTTTGGACTGACTAATGTACTGAAAAGTGCCCACTTTATCTAATTCCATTTGAAGTAGATAAATACTATCATCAGCTAATCCATTAAAAGCGTTGTTCAAAATGAAACACAATAATTTATAACTACTTACTTTGTTGCGTTAAACCAGATTTCGCAATTTTCCAAGGAGTTCATTTAGATAAAATGTACAACTTATTTATTTATTAAACTGTTATGACTGTATATTATTATTATTATTATTATTATCAAATACTTACTTTCGAATTATGTACCAAATGAATTGGAGTATTATGATTTATTAAATCTGGGAGATTGATACAATTAGGACAATAGGTGCACAGTAGATTAACACATCTGTATTATTCATAATTCAGAAAAAGGAATGAAATAATAGAATAAACATGATTATTATTATTACTATTGACAACTATTATTGTTATTAATGAAAAACCAGATAGAATACAATTTTCGAGTACAACCAATTCACAATACACTATTACAATACAAAATTTCAAAAAAAATAATTTATAGAAGCGTTAGTGATGTACAAACTTTTACAACGAAAAGTTTTCAAGTAGTGAATTACAAATTCAAAAAAAAAGAAAACCTATCATTTAACTAAATAAATGAACCAAATATTACATGAAATCAGATAAAAATTTCCCTCCAACTCTGTATTATTCGTGTGTCAATATGAAATCTGATTCGGTTAGCAAAAACGGAAAAAACCGAATAAAAAATAATGAAAACGAACGGTTAAATGGAATCAGTAATGAAAATAAATTAGAATAGTATTATTAATAACTGGGTGGAAAGTGATATACATATTTGAATATTACAACATATAATTTAAGATTTCAGTAATTCATTACCAACAACTTTGTCTGAAACTTTAATAAACCTTTGAAAACACCAAAAATGTTTTAAAAAAGGTGAATTATAAATAGTAAAAAATAGGAAATACAGGTTACGATTTCAAAGTAATTCCATTGAAATAGATCAACATTTCCTAGAATTTCGGTGCAGATCCAACAAAATCCGAATTGTTAGTAGTCGTTAGTTCTTAAACACATTCAACTAACAATTGATTTTATAAAACTTGGATTAGTTCTCAATGGTTCATTCTTACAACCAGTATTTATCTCACAAAAGTTCTTGTTCATATTTTTTCAATGAGATGAGGCAATAAAAAAACCTACCATGAGATTGTTATTCATGGTCTTTGTTACAATTTATTGGATGAATTAAGACCGTCTCACGACAACATACAACAATGAGTGATGAGTTAGACTACAGGTTTCTGTACACATGCATGCTTACATATGAATGACCTAACCCAAGTTAACTACTTTCAAACTATCAATTGAATTCAAACAATACTATACGAAATAATTATTTCTGAAATAAGAAGTATGTTACATATTTCATTTTGGCAGCTTATTATTCGTTGAAAACACAATTATTTACAACCTAAACAGAATTTTAATAGAAATGACCAAGTAGTAAGCAAGTAAACAAAATAGTTTCAGAAACATTTTCAGACTGAACTTTTACAAATTACAAGTGATCAAACCCGTAACAGTATTGCTCTTAAGATATAATAATAATACCACTGATAGTAATAATAATAATGAGAATAACAATAGTAACAATGATAATAATAATAATAATATGAAGTCTACTGGTAATTGGTACAAACAGCAGAAGTAGTATATCATAACCTGATGTATGAGCGAGAATGATAAGGATTGGTTGTTTACTTAGTCTGACAGGTACTATATGAGTTATATATTTTATTACTCTTATTATTACTGTGATTGTTGTCGGTTTTGATGTAGAAATATACTTGCGTTCTAGTCACGCCAGTCACGTGTTCTTGATCCGAGTTGTGTTGATGTTCTGTGGAATAAACACTGAGAGGGTATTCAGTGCAGATATTCGTTTAAGGCAAATTAACGTCCCATATGTGTAGACGGGGAAACCGAGCGTTATAACAATAGAGACGGTGGTTAAAACGAATCTACGCCTATATATACAGTTAAAGCGGATTTTATAACAATAAAATGGATGATCTGAAATCTTTATTGCAACAGCAAAATGCTTTCATAGAGTTACTGGTCAAGAATATGTCAGTATCCCCAAAAACCCAGGTACCTAGTTCCACTATGACTTAGGATTTTATTGCGAACCCAATAAATGAATTTAGATTTGATCCAGTAAGTGGAATTACTTTTGAGGAGTGGTTTAAGCGCCATGATGATCTATTTGTTGATGATTGTAAAGAATGAAACAAATGTTCGAAATTGAAATTATTACTAATGAAAGTTAGAGTTTCTGAATATGAAAAGTTTTGTAATTTTATTCTCCCAGAGAAGCCAGTCGACATAACCACCATAGAAACAGAATGCCTGAGACACATAATTGAAGAACGGTCATCAGTTTTCCACACTAGATACCAATGCATCCAGCTTGTAAAAAGACCACAGGACGATTTTGTGACGTATATCAGCATCATGAACCGGGAATGTGAGCGGTTCTGGCCACAAGAAATATCCTCAGACCATTTTAAATGCCTCTCAATGCTTAGCCTTTCTCATTATTACCGCTAATATATTACTTCGATCCCTTCACTACTTATGTTGGAAATTTTGTCTTAGGTCAACGCAATTGTTTCAAGTTTTATGTTTACCATGACTGATGACTGACATATAGAATCTATTCATATTTAAAATTGAGGAAAATCGACGCTTAATACATAATTACTTTGTTTTTAACAATGATTTCGGTAATTTCACAAGTCCATTAATTTAGCAATCATAAGATAATGAAATATTCACTAGTGTAAACAAACTTGTGGTGCTAGTAAGCAAGAAAAAATACTAAAGTACAAACATAAAATGAAACCTTGCACAATTTTTCCGAGTTTTCTATCTTTTACAGTAAACCTTAAGTCCAAGTAAGTAACAGTGTACAAGGATTATCCAATTACTAAAACACAGACAACAACAGCAAAAATAATATTTGGACTCTACAAGAAGCTGAAGTAGTGTATAACTTTGCAGAGTCATTAATGACAACCTAATCGCCAAAAATGAGAAGCTTGAATCAAGTCTATTGAAATCTAGTGAACAGATATTTTTTCTAAATATACGGATATTGCTGTAACTACCCTCGACTAACGTCCGTCACAATTATCAACTTGTCCTCCTCTATATGTCTAAACATGAAAACAATTAATGCGAATCAGCAAATATATGGATATTTGTAGATTGGTTTATCAAATATAATGCATGGTGATTTATAATAATACCAAACAGCCTGAATCATAGATCCTTATATTCAGAAGGGGATTTGTGGATTATATAATATATATACATATATATGATCTGCATAGATGCATGCATTAACAGTGAAAAGCAAAATCATAGACCTCAAATACAAGCCCTTTTTTAAAAAAGTGGAGACATACAGAAAACAATTTCACAGTAAACTTACTCAAGTGAATCATTATTGACAGCAATATGAATAGGAAATGATTCGAATTCACCAATCATAGGATCACCACCAGCTTTAAGCAGCTTTTCAATGCATTCCATAGAATTATTACGACAGGCAATATGTAAAGGAGATTCACCTTTGTTATTCAAAGCATTGACATCTAAACTTTGAAGATTGTCAAGAAGTAGCTGGATATCAACCAATAAGGAAACAAAGAGAAAAAACAGAGAGAAATGGAGATGAGAAGTATGTATCTAGGATACTGATTTCTTTTAATGCTTTTCTGTCTATATCCATTAACATAATTCTTGTCAAACCTCGGTAAATCGACGGTAATTTCTCATTTAAAGATAAACTAGTAATTAAGTTTAGGCGTACTTTTTGTAGGGATATTTAACTATCTAGTTGTCTGGTTTCAAAAAAAATCAATTTTCTCACATTTTTCACATTTCATCAAATATTGGACAGAATTCAACGAAACAGATAAGCAGAAATAAAGAACAGAAACAGTTCAATATAAATAAAAGTTTCTTCTTTATCGACTGATCGTCCAATTATACACGTACACACGACTTGTCACAGTAAATATTCACTTTTCAGAAGTAATGTCCTATATGTGTATCCAACTTTACACACAATGACTAGTAAGCGGAAACGTGATTCGTTGCTTAATAAATACAATCTGGACATAAAAGTTAATATAACTAGTTAAGTAGATTAAGAAGTCACCTATATTTCATTATCACACTGTAGTCATGTAGGTCGAATAAAAAATATCCATAGTGTCTTATATCATTTAAATGCTTAAAATGTTTAAGATACATTCGCACTTTTGCTACAAATGCATGCAGAGAATTGCATATGAACAATGCCAAATTAAGAATGTACGAATTGAACAGTCCCAATAAAAATCACAAATAAAGACGATTTTAGAGTTTTGAATGTTATAAGCTTATCATTAATTATTAGAAATTAAATTAAAGCACCGATGAAAGGATTTTCTGATTAGAAAACAATTTAATGACACACGATTTTAATCTTTTGTACTAACTGTCAAGTTGAAGTAAGAAATTATGGTCATAGTATGATACGTTGATGATATTCGGTATCCAGCCACCCTTCTACTTACTAGGCCTTAAATTCCTGATATTTTTCTTCTTGTTTTATCAGGAAATAATTAGTGATCAAACAAGACTAAAATTGACTGCAGAATTAGACTGTACTAATATTACATCAAGTTATTAGTAATGTCAATGATCGTGAATTGGTTGAATTTAGACATCACTGAGTCGGTATCCAACGGTGTTGATCTAGAGGTTAAGCGTTCGCGTGTGAGACCGAAATTCCTGGGTTCGAGTCCCGAGTGCGGGGTAGTGGATGCGCACTGCCGAGGATTCCCATACTAGGACGAAACGGCCATCCACGTTGTCGATGGTGGTATGATATTGATCCATTCATCATATCAAACTAAACTCAACAACCTACATAACCCTATACTGATAATAAACTAAAGGATGAAAACCGTTGTCATGAACAAAACAAAGCATATCATAAAAAAGAGCAGGAACTGCTCAACAAAACATGTGTCCGATACCAGATAAACAATTACTCAAATAAGTGAACAAAAAAGTTTGTAAAGGAAATTGTATTCATTGGTGAAATTAGTTGAATTAAAGAGTATGAACAGCGTTATGTGAATCTAACATGTCTAAATATACAAAATTCAAATGAAAACAAAAATAAAATTGCCACAAATATTCGAATAGAAACGAAAATTTTATTTACTGAAACTTATTGAACTATACAGAAAACTAAAGCATCTTGTCAATCACAGTGAATATTAAATCAGTTCAATAACACGGTTGTATAAAACGAAAACCCTGAGAACATAAAGAACGTTAGAGATAACAGTTTCTTCGCCACAAATTCGTATTAACGGACTTAAATCTAGTCAGTGAAAATATTAGAAGTCTATCTCAGTAAAGATTGAAATCTCTTAGGGTCCATTACGACCATGAGATCAAATCTAGAAAACAGATTGAAATAAGTCTTACAGCTTACTTATTATCCAACAACAAAAATCCATAGACAAAATGCAACTCGAACTGATAAGTCAATACTAATAGTTATTGCTCAAACAGTGAAACGTAAGTAATGAACGGTGAAATTTCGTCCTTGAATACACCAAATTAACACATAAGCTTGTTTAACCCTATAACAAGAATATCTTAGAAACAACCATCCAATATCTCTGCTCTTTTAAAGTAACAGTGGTAGGCAAACAGATAAAATAATTCCAGAATATTTTGTCTAGACTAAAAGATTTAGTTTGAATAGTAGACTAATGAACTGACAGCAATGATTGTCAATCATATTACCACACAGATTATTATTATTTATCATGCTGCTAAAAAGAATAAGTAAAAACAATGACATAACAAGAAATGTCCTGTAGAAAACAAAATGGTGGCAATAAAGAGAAACCGGAGAGATAACAGAATACTATAATGATGAAAAGCCCGTGGTACAGAAAGATACTCGTCATATAATCCACTTCTCTTGAGGATTTCTTACTGTTTATGAAGAATATAGAAGTCACGATTATCACTGATTCCAACCCCAAGAGATTTTTTTGATAACATCTGAAATGCAAATAGTATATGGATACTAGCCTGCAGTAAGACGAGGTAATGCACCCTTGTGGATGCAGATCCTAGCCAGTGGTCATGGCCTCATTTTTAATTGAGAACAGGTAAAGACTCTACAGAATACAAACTCTAGAGTGTCGAGAGGATTGTTAAGAGTTTGTGAATTGAGTAAAACTGAAATTAAAAGACGCTTTAAAAACAAAGTCTGTAATTCAGCTAAAAAATTTGTTCATCCCCCAACTGGCTGAAAACCGACTGAGTAAACCAATAATCAAGAATGATGATACAAAGTCACATTGACATTTTTCTTCAACATGGTTTAATAAAAGTTCCTCAAGTATAACATGACAGAAACTGTCATTCGCACATGATTTTGTACTTCTCAAAGTAGAAAATTATCTTAGCTGTTCATATTACTTAGGAATACTTCAATTCTTCACTAAACCAACTTGAAAGTTACCATGTTTAATGAAATGTTCATCACCAGAAATAAAAGTTCAGGTAAAACTAAGAATACGTCTAATCTACAAATTATCCGCATTATTAGGAGTGATCAAACCACTAAAGAATTAGAAATGTATTTTAGATCAGTTCATAATTATCATCGGAATAATAAATTATGATTATCTGGACATTAAGATGGTTATTTTTTAATACTTCATCCCGGGATTTTTTTGAACTAAGCAACAGATGAAAGACTTATCAGCTGTCGCTGAGTTCTTATGTTTCAGACATACGATGACAAGTTTATTTTCATTTAGAAATGACAGGTTAGATTTTACATACTATTCAGTCAGTAGCTGAAAGTTAGTGAGTTCAAAAGTTGCTAGAGACTAGTCGCGAACATTAGCCCTTCCGCTCAAATTCGCTTGATGTGCTTGTACCTTTGTTATCTGAGATATCCAATAATAAACAGTAGTCGGTGTTTTGTGTTGCGTTCTAGATTATACCCCTTGAATAACATCTTCAAATACTAATCTTTCCGATTACTGCTCATACTTTTACTACCTCTACGACTATGGGATTTGCATCGACAATTGCATCTCTGTGTTAATGTGGTATAGCAACTCGAACTGATGTACGTACGTACGAAGTTCTACGCTGTGGCTGACTGATTGACTATGAATTCACACACCGTTGAGATTTATTTAATAACGGTAATCAGGGTGTTTGACAAACAAAGCATAAGGAATTATCTCAAAGCCAAGCCACTACAGTGCAATAACGAAACTATTGCAATGTTTTGTGCTGATAATTTCGTACAGGTTATAAAAAACATAGTATTTGATGTTTATTACTAATTCAGATTACTGACTTACTAACAGCATCTAATGAATTGGTATCCGGACAAGCAAAACGACCAGCCAGGCAGACACACAGATATGAATAAGCCCAAGTTGTCATTTCATATCAGAACAGTGAAACGAAATTAACGAGATCAACCATAAAAGAGTACAATAATAGTGATACCAACGATACTAAGAGATATTAGATAGCAGAAATTATAGTTTGAAAAGTGAAAAATTAGAGGAACAAACAGCGTCACTTAGTGCCAAAGCTCAAAACTTATAGGAAGATAAGAAATAAATGACCAGGTACTTTTTGAACTACACCTTTCAGACTAGGGACACCGGTGGATGAGTATAGGTAAGGTCTATAGGAGTCACGTAGTAACAAATAACTGCTTTCTGTGACGGTTCATTATATCTTCTATTTATAAAAGATAGTTAAGGACAACTTAACATATTATAGACCTAAATATATCTCAGATATTGTCAACTATAGCCAGATATTTGTTCCGAAGAAATGATAATGATATACAAACTTACAGATAAAATTTTCACCGAAGTATTTCCCAAAGCCAAATGGAGAACAGTATTACCATCCTCATCTTTTTCACTTGCCTTGATATTATCCAAGGCTACCAAAAACCGAACTGTCTCTTCATCATTCTCTTTTATTGCAACTCGTAGTGGAGTTAGACCAGAAAAAGGATCATATTCGTTTAAAAGACTGAAATGAGGAACTAATTAACTGGCAAGATCCCATAAACCTACCGGTTTACGGACTCGCTTAGGAAAACCTCAAGCCAAGACATTGCTGCAGCTACATGAGCAGCTGACCAGCCACACTGGTTCCGACAATAAGTATTTATTTTTTCCAAATGTGTACGATCGATGGATAAATTCATGTTCATACAGGCTAAATGCAGAGGATCCAAAACTTCTATGTGTCGTAAAAATACGGCAACACCTGCTTCTTGTTCGCCTTGAAATCTAAATAAACTAAACAAATTTAAAAATGAACATTTTTAATGAATGAAAGTAGATAAACACCTGTAAGCATAAACAGTCTCTCCATTGATTGGAATGCTATCTGATCCAGGTAGGTAAACCATATCAAAATGATTTGCCACTTTGTAGAAATAATAAATTGACTTTTGTTGTAGTAATTGTTCACAACTGAGGATAATTTTTAAGTACATGAATATTTAAAATGAACTCACTCTTCATATTCAGATTCGTATTGGCTTAGAGTATAAGGTATTACTTTATTAGGGGAAATAGACGAGACAGCTGTTTTGACAAAATTACTAACATATTTTCCGAAAGAAGTCATAATCTTTGAGCCAGGAGACCAATAATACACCACTTATCTATGACTAGAGTATGGTATAGCTTTTTTTCATCAAAAAAATGCTGACAACAAAAAAACAGGAAAATAGGCAAGGATTAGTAAAAAATGGAAAAATATTTAAACGCAGTGGATGTAATGAGAAATAAGAAACAAGTAATGTGTGTCATTTTTATAGTTATACTGGGCAGTTGTAAGACTTTGATGGAGACAAATAATCAAAAGAATACTTGACGCTAAATTTATCCAGAACCGAAAAGTGACAAAACGCATATATTTTGATATTACCAGAATCTTTTGGCAAGAGCCATATCTACAGTAAGGACTAATGACACTATACAGCTATATTACAGACACCGAATATCCAAATACAACTTCAGAGGAAGGAAGTCAATATTGATTTAAGATGAACTATTATAACAATAACTTATTAATTGTGAATTTTGCGTATATAGTTTAAATGCATTTTCCACCATAATTTGTTCATTGAGAACTACTATGTTCATAAACCATAGTTACCTTAATTCATATTTAACTGATTATCCTAAATGTATTTTAGAATCTACTGTAGCCATCGTCCACGACTTCTTGCTCTAGATGGCTGGGGGGGGGAAGTGAATGCGAATAGTCTCGTTCATGGTATTTATCAGTAGGAGCTAAGAAATATCAGACTAGCGCACGACATCAGATTACTAGGACTGACAAACAAACTGAAATTCGAAACTATAACCTATCGATCAGAAGAAAAATACGTGAATGAAACGGATATGGTTACAAGATATCAAGTAAAAATTGAACCATAATATACACAACTATTTTAATTGGATATCTGAACTAAAATTAGAAACTATGAAAACTTGTATCTCACTGATCAAAAGAATGTACTTCACCATATTCTTCGACAGAAGCTATTAGCACTATGGCAAACTTTACTTGCCTAGATAAAGAGAAGCTCTATGTACTAAAATCCCCATACACTAAATATTAAACATTTCTTTGATTTAGATATTTCCTTAGGATAAAAAGCTATTATGACACATCGAAATGGAAAGACTGGAAATATTTACTCGAAAACGCATTCCGCATAGCCTATGAACACACTATATATCATTTTATTTAAAGACAGGATTAGTGTACGCAAATTATCACACTAATATTTAGCCAGAGATGTAAATGAATTACAAACTGTGGCAGTCATCCGTTCTAATCTTCGCCGATGACAAAAAACTTGGAGACCCATACACAGTATGCCAAATAGAATAGTATTACGGAATGATCTCGACTCATTGGTCGCATGGGTGGATGGATGGTCACTAGAAGTGAATTCTAACAAGTGTGGTGATGCAATTAAATGACTATGATGATTCGTATCACTACACAATACGTGGATTCGCGTTACCCAAAGTAATAAACTACAAAGATTTAGAAGACATAATAAGCAGCGATCTCAAAGCTACTATTAACTGTAGGGCTGCTGCCGCAAAAGGTTATATGATATTATGAGTTACTCGCAGGTCTTTTCAGTATTTGGATGAGGAAATATTTAGATTTTTATATCCGACTTTCGTGAGACCGCATTTGGAATGTGGGATTCAAGCGGCGAGTCCTTGCTTCAAGTATGAGGCGGATATGCTGGAGCGAGTCCAATGACGAGGGACCAAAATAGTTAAAGGTCTCTCCGGTCTATCATCTGACCGTAGAATACGGAGTGATCTAATATCGGCTTGTCCTATAATGAACGATGACCTTGGTATTAATATGCCTTATTTCTCACTTTCGTCCAAAATTGATCATTTGAGGAGACATTCGAAGAAAGTTTTAAAAAAGAAATCAAATTGTCTATGTCCGGAGTTTTGTTTTTCGCACTGAGTAGTGAACTACCGGAGTTATCTGCCAGAACACTTAATATCAACACCTTCTGTTGATATATTTAAGACGAGATTGAATCTTCACAGTGTTGCCAACTGCAAGGATTAATATACGTCGGTAGACCTCCTATCCTTACCACTGAAAACTAAAAATAACCGTTTACACAATAGATGTTTACGCACACATAATCTAATTCACAGGTGGAAATTAAGCGAAACGAAAGTGATAGGACGTCTTCGTGTAAATTATTGCTCGTACACTTTCTTTATTAGGCCAATAATGCCAGACAGAAAACCAGCTTACAAACAATACTTTGAGTGGAGCGCTTTGGTTAAGACTAAGGTTATTGACGAACCATTGTCTTATTACAACAAAGTCATTCCTGAGGCACCCATATGAGTGGTTAAAAGTCTAAACAGAAGGCACTTTGCACATGGGGATCGTGCGAAGTAGAATCAGTGAAGAGGGGTGGAAAACAGGAGGAAAATATAAAAGGTGAGTGGAAGACCTAGCAAGAGCACATAACACACTTACGCTAACTACGGAAAGCGATAGACAACAATCAGTAATAACACAGACCTCAGACTATGACAATCTGGGAATCGAAACTAGAAGCCGATAGTTTTACCAGCTATAACAATTTTATTTAAGCTCTTGTTGATAATAACGATCGCTGTCAGGATGTCGAGTAAATTCTCCATACAGAGTACGATATGGAATACAACAGCCGTACTTGCCCAAAACGATTGTTTTCGTACGTTAAACGAAGGACAAAATGAAGTCACGTAATTCCTCCATTATTTAGATCAGACTATATTCAGATTTAGATTTGTGTATTGAGAACAGAAGGCTTACGGCCTGTGCTAGTCCTTTTCTGGTAAGCTTCTAGTCTAGTCTCCTTTTGAGCGAGTCAATTGAAGGGGCAGACACCACTTCTTCAGGTTGTAGCTGTAAATAATTCCCCAAAATCAATAGTTCATTAAGTGTTCGACATTGGATGCTGACCACGTTGTTTAAGTGGACTTGTTTAGCTGAAGGCTTTCGATCATGCATCCGTACCAGATCACGTTTCGACTCGGCGTGGGACACAGCTCCTACGTTTCATTAGCCAGCTCATAGAAAAGGTCCTCGATATATTGGTAACGAATCAAATATATCTTTCCTGCCTCTTCTCGTCTGACTTCTGATTTCTATCTGACTGGGAACAATCGAATATAGAAGGTGCTACCGGTAAATAGTTGTAAAACTAGAATATCCGTTGCATCATCATTGGTGAACCCGACGTGATCTGGTACACCAAGTCAATATACTGTTAGTCTGTTCCATTTTGGAATATTATTATTCATTGTTATTCTTTATTTGAATTTTATATATTGTGATATACATTTTTTCGCAGTTTTTTTTCTCGGATATATTTTACTAAGACATTTTTCGTTATCTATATTACTATGACGAAACACTCTCCTAAGGTTTTTAAGTTAAAGTCTATTCCCCCTATTTCGATTCAGTTAACGCCATTTTGGCCCGACAATATCGAGTCCTGGTTCTGCTATGCAGAAGCCGATTTTTGCATGCACGGACTCGCGCACACGTTTCCTCGTGGTAGTTAAGGCGTTACCGCGCGAGTTTAACAGGTACGTAACACCTAGTATGTTCACTAGTGATGTTCCTGAACCTTACGAAACGCTTAAGCTATCGATTTTAAAACGAGGAGACCTAACTGATCGACAACGGTTAGACCAACTCCTTAACAATATCGACTTGCAACATGGTTCTGCGACGGACATGTTGCTTAGAATGAGAGAAGTCATCGGCCAACGAACTTTCGATGATGGCCTATTTAGACAACTTTTCTTGTCTAAACTCCCTCAACAGGTGCAGGCAGTGCTTGTTTCATTTCAAAACAATGCCATAGATGAACTAGCTGCATCTGCCGATCGAATCTTGGAAATCACTAGATCTTCTAAGGCCGAGGTTTTTTCCATCAAAGAAAAACCCCAATCGACCTCGACTGACATGGCCGAACTATGTCACACGCTTACACGATATCTTAGAGTTCGCAATGACCGTAGTCGGTCAAAAACCCCGCGTAGAAGTGCCTCACGTAAGCGATCTGGCTCTCTACCACGAGAGACAGACAATCCCGACTGGTGCTGGTATCATAACCAGTACGGTAAGTTTTCCAGAAACTGCAGTAAACCTTGCAATTATCCGACCCCAAAATCGAGTGACACGAATAAGATTTCGGGAAACTTCCTAGCCGGCACGCGTTAACGGCAACCGTAGCCGGTGAACACAGCCGCCTCTTATATGTCACGGATGACTACGAAAGTTCGCTACCTCGTCGACACTGGCGCAGAAGTTAGCGTTCTTCCAGCAAATCCCGACGACAGACTTCGCGAGTGTGTTTTAAGTTTACAGGCGGCAAACGGAAAGCCGATCGCTACTTACGGTAAAAGGTACGTCTATCTTAACGTGGGTTTACGTGGACATTGTTTTCGATCGACTCCAAAGGCATGGCATTACTGTCAACATTCAGAAATGCCAAATCGGAACAAACTCCTTAGACTTCTTAGGACACACTATTGATGCTCAAGGCATCCGACCACTTAGGAGCAAAATGGCGGCCATTCTGGATTACCCAGAACCCAAATGCGCATCCCTTATGAAACCGTTAACCGACCAGCTTCGTGGAAATGCAAAATCAATTAGTTTAGACGACACAGCCCGAAAAGCATTTTCCACAGTTAAGGAACACATCGCTAAAGCAACCCTGCTTGCTCATCAGGACACTCAAGCGCCCATTAGTATCGCAGTAGACGCATCCGACTCAGCAATCGGAGCAGTCTTACAACAATGGGTTAACAACTCATGGCAACCTTTAGGATTTTTCTCGAGACGGTTGCTAGACACGGAAGCTAGGTACAGCACGTTCGGTAGGGAACTCCTAGATATGTATTGTGCTGTACGGCATTTCCAACATTCCATCGAAGGGAGAGAATTCACGCTCTATACCGATCACAAACCTCTTACCTTCTCTTTAAGTTCATCTTCAGACAAGTACTCACCGCGAGAGTCTCGACATTTCGACTACATTTCGCAGTTTACTCCAGACA